ACAAGTTTACCGGCTTTGTGAACTGTTGATTTCAGATGCTCAGGCTCTTGGAAAGAGTTCTTTTTGCTATTGTTGTTTTGTATTCTAGAGATAAATTCTCTCTCTAACCTAGGCAGACCTCAAACTTATAGTCCTCTGGTACCCAGACTGTTGAAATTGCAGGTATATTCTGTCATCTATGACAAAACTTTTTTCTTGATCTGTTTGTGTCTGTTTTGTTTTTTTCTTAAACCAATTCTGTGTGAATTTCACATCATGGATCCCAGTCCGGCTCGTCTCCCCATACCCTCATATACACCGTTTGCCCTTGCAAACTTTCTCCCAAAATAAAACACACAAGCAAATAAACAAACAACAGGAACAAAAACCCCAAAAATCTAAAGCCTAGAAAACGTCTCACTGTGAAAGCTATACTGTCACAGTGTGGCCGGCAGTATACCACTCTGTCCACACATCTTCACTTGCGAGTGAAGTCACACTTCACTCATTGAAGTCAGTTCAAGCTCTCTGCCTTCTATGACACCATAAATATTGGGTCTCACCAGGACTCCTCCTGGCTGTCCTGTTGATGTCCTGGGTCATGGAAATCCTGCAGCTTTGAGCTAATGGGACTGGCCCTTTCACACATCCCAACCATTCACAGATAGAGATTGTTGGGATGAGCCAACTCAGAGACCTGGATCTGAGCCTGAGTGGTAGCTGAGCCGGTCAGCCTCGTCTCCCTTATCAGCACTGGCAGGGCGCACTCTCCAACGCTGCTCTGGCGAGCCCACCCAATGCCTCCGTTGGCAGGAGGCAGGGTCACCTCTTCTGTTCTCATACTCTCAGCTGGGCCAGCTCTCTTGCTGTCACACTCTTGGGGCTGGCTCACCTGTACCTTCACGATCAGGGGAAGCTCTATTGTGTTGCTCAGGTGAGGCAAAGGGCCCCCCTCTCCTGAGTGCTATAGCTGATGAGAGGCAGGGCCAGCTCTCTTGATGGCTGGGAGTGGCAAGGGTGGTAGACATCACCTCTGTGCCCATGCTACCCCACAACACATGAGTAGCAGGGTCAGCTCTCCTATACTCATACCCTGCCCCTCCCAACCCCCTCCCTCCCCCCCACCCCCACCCTGTGCCTGCCCTACCAACCAGGGTCAGCACTATTGTGCTGCTTGGGTGAGGTATGGGGCCTGCTCTCTTGAATGCTGCCACTTGTGAGAGATGGGCAAGCTCTCCAGAGCACTGCATCCAGTGAGGGATGGGGCTAGTCATGCACAGCCCTTGGACATCCACATGGTCCCTGGCAGCTGCCCAGACCAGGGACATCCCCCTGTTTTCTAGTGGTAACATGAGCCACGGACATCAACACAGACACCTGCCACTGCATAGCCATGGACTCAGACATGGCCCTCAGCAGAAGCTCTGGCTGGGACTTCACCATGGCCTCAGGTGGCAGGACAGGCTACTTACGTCAGGCTACTCCTCTCCACCCTTGAGTCTCCAGTTCCGTCTCTCTTCATAATGCCCAGGCTACTCCACTTCTCTTTCCCTCCCATTTGACCACCACACACTTGCACACTGTGACAGCCCCTGCTACATCCTGGCCACGTGGTTGGCAGGCCCCTGGGTGACATCCTCTATCTGTGCTTGGTGGCGTGGCTTGAGCAAACATCTATGCCCTGCCTATGCTGTGTACTGGATGGATGGCAGGTAAGTGACATAGCAGTCCACAGGTCTCTGTCTTCCTCCTTCTGTGATGTACTCCCTGGATTTGATTTGATTTGATTTGATTTGATTTGATTTGATTTGATTTTTATGAGTCCTAGGCATAAGACAGCTTTGGCCACCAAGCCAGGTATCAGGCTAGGATGAACAACAGACTGCTATCTTCTCTGGTCACAACCAACAAGGTGTCTCTTTGTCCATTGCAAGGGGTGTTGTATCTGTTTTTATAGTATGACTGCTTTGCTCTGCGCTTAAGGCTTTTCCTAGGGATGCATGTCTTGATCATGGCAAGAATGGCCAGTAGCTATAGCTGTAAGCATTTGTTTGGTTGAAACCTGTGTTATAATGGAGCCCACATTTGCAGCAGTACCCCACTACTGGGAATGCAGGCATCCATCACCATACTCATCTGAGGCACATCAGGCTTAGTGACAACCAAGGATTTATTAAAAAAAAAAAAAGCTTCAGGATTGCCTTGTCTAAATTACACAGTAATTCATGAACCAAACATAGAGCCCAAGGAATATACAGCAAGCTATCATCAGCTAAGCCGAGATCACACGCTGGGGCTGAGACCAATCACATATGAGCTTGCTTGGATTGATGGACGAGGAAGGATGATTTTCCCAAGAGAGGGGAGAGTGCAACTTAGCTGAAAAGAGGTGGAAGAAGTTAGATCAAGCAGGAATTTCAACATCCGCCATCAAGAGATCACATGGTCATGCACATGTTTTTTACAAGTGAGAAAAACGAGATTTCTGTCAGGTGAATAGCTTTTAGATCGGATCATTTAACACATGTGAAAGTGTTTATTACAGTATTAAGCATGAACCAGAAACTCACTTGAACTCGTCTTCCTATCCTTACTTCCCATCTCTATTGCCTAGGCCTCTGCAGAGCCTGGGTCCTTGAGACTTGTCTTCTCAGGCCACTCCAGGGTCTTGAAGTCTTCAGCTTTCAGTGGCCGTATTAGCTTGCTAAGCCCGTATAGCAAAGTAGACCGTGAGGTTTAGAATTTTCTCTTAGTCCTAGAGGCTAGAAATCAAAAATCAAGATGTATTGGCCTCCCGTGATGCATCATTGGTGTACAGATTGTGACACTCTTCCTGTATCTTCATATACCTGTCCTAATTTCCAGTCATAGAAAATTAGGACCCATTCTCCCGACCCTTGGATCTGCCTCTGACTTCCACCCCTAGCTCTTAACTCCATCTTTAGAAACCCATTCCCAAAATAGAGTCATAGAGTAATTGGAGTTAAAAAAGTTAGCTGAGGAGGCAGTATGAATTTGAGAACACTGTTTGATCTGTGGTAATGGATATCTTAGAGTTTTCATTGCTGCAAAGAGACACCATGACCAAGGCAACTCTTATAAAGGACAACGTTTAATCAGGGCTGGCTTACAGGTTCTGAGGTTCGATTCATTATCATCATGGCAGGAAGCATGGCAGCATCCAGCAGGCATGGCGCTGGAGGAGCTGCGAGTTCTACATCTGGTTCCAAAGGCAGTCAGAAGACTGAATCTCTCAGACAGCTACAGAGAGAGTCTCAAAGCCTTCCCCCACAGTGACACACTTCCTCCAACAAGGCCACACCTCCTAATAGTGCCACCCCCTGGGCCAAGCATATTCAAACCATCACAATAGGATAGCAAAACCCACCCAAGTCTTGGAGATCTCAGTCAAGAATACTCCCTACTAAGCCGGGCGTTGGTGGCGCACGCCTTTAATCCCAGCACTTGGGAGGCAGAGGCAGGCGGATTTCTGAGTTCGAGGCCAGCCTGGTCTACAGAGTGAGTTCCAGGACAGCCAGGGCTACACAGAGAAACCCTGTCTCGAAAAGCCAAAAAAAAAAAAAAAAATACTCCCTACTTGGGACAACTTTTGAGTTATCAAAACCCATTCAAAGTGGGTTGGAAATGTATGCTGTGCTATAATCCCGGTGCTTGGAAGGTAGAGGCAGAAGGATTGTGAGTTCAAGGCCATCCTTAGTTACATAGCATATTTGAGGCCAGCATGGGCTATAAGAGACTCTGTCCCCCTCCCCACAAAAGGCTGGGGATATAGGTCAATTGGTGTACTGTTTGCCTGGCATACCGAAAATCAGGCCTGCTGGTGTATACCAGTACTCAGCACTTGGGAGGCAGAAACAAGAGGCTCAGAAATCCTTGCCAGAACCATACAATCCTTTATGAGGTATACTCGCTTCCCAAGACAGTTCAGAGCTGTTCAGAGGATGCATCATGGTGCATATAAATTGGATGAGTGGAGTGAATGAGGGGACCTTGAGGGTCATCGGTTATTTGAGAAAAGAAAGAAAATGCAAGGATAATTTAAAAAAGGATGTGTCAGAAACCTTAAAGAAAAGGTAGGTCCATGATTCCTCTGTGAAGTCATTGAAAGGGAGGGTCAAGCTGCCACAAAGCACTTTCCTCTCCTAAGCCACCAGCCTGGAAGTATGCTGCATGTATGTGTGTGTGTATATATGTATGTATGTATGTATGTATGCATGCATGCATGCATGCATGTATGTATGTATGTATGTGCCCAACAGCTTTAATCAGTTTCTGTATGACTTTTCATTTATCCATCTCTAGCTGGAGGCAGCATGATGACACTCAGAGACAACAATGGACTTCAGATCTCATTTTCAGGACTTGTTAGCTGTGTGAGTTTAGACAAGTCATTTAACTGTAGGACCTAAGTCTCTGCTGTAAAAGAATGAGGGTAGTTCTAACTTCTGGTGGATTGTTGTGAGCATTACATGAGTTAATCACTGTAAGATGGTCAGTTCACCTTGTGGAAACAAGCCTCACTAAGATTGGCTATAGTCTGTTAGGTGTGGTAGCACACGCCTGGACTCTATGCTGGAAACATGAAGATCAAGAATCCAAATCAAGTTTGAGACCAGTCTGGGCCCCATGAAACCCTGTCTCTAAAAGCAACCAACCAACAAAAACATAACTGAGGTCTCTAGTGGAGAAAAAAGAAAATGGTCCCAAAGAGGAGCGTGTTGGTCCATATTTTCTGAGGAATGCTTCTGTTGCTAACAGGTTACTAACAGGTCACTCATAGCCATGTATGAGTCTGTATCATATGAATTCATGTATGAATGCACATAGATCATATGAATGTATGAATGTCTATGTAGACGACTATGCATGATCTCTGATGACCAGCAGGTCCCAGCTGGATGGCAACCTTCCATCTGTTTATATACTTCTCTATGGGATTGATTTGGTTTAGGAATTCCTTTCGCCGTCAACATTCCTCAAGTTCTTGTTCATCTTTTCAGGCTGCGGCTCCATGAAGAAAAGGTTATTAAAGACAGACGGCATCATCTCAAAACCTACCCAAACTGCTTTGTTGCAAAAGAACTGATTGACTGGCTCATTGAACACAAGGAGGCCTCTGACCGAGAGACGGCGATAAAACTCATGCAGAAATTAGCTGACCGGGGCATCATTCATCATGGTGAGTGAGGCGGCACCATCAAGGTGTCTGGAGAGGAAATGATAGGCGAGAATTTTATCCCTGAACCACCAATGCTGGGCTGGAGAGGAAGTAAAGACCCATGAAGAAATAAAGGCGGGGAGTGCTGGCATATGCAGAGGCAGTAGAATCTGGAGTTCAAGGCTCAGCTAAATCCTTGGCTAAATAATGAGTTTGAAGCCAGTCTGGGCTATGTGAGACCCTGTCTCCATAAGATCAAATGTTAGATAATAAGCAAACATTTTACTTTAAAGTATCTCCTCAGTACCTCTTCCCAATCGCATCCTTCCTGCATGAGGTACCCGGGTTATTTTCATACTCTTTTCTAGACTGCGTGTCATATTTGAGCCTTCGTGTGGATGTGTGTTTACTCTTTGCAACTTGGGCAGCATGCCGTTTGTTGAATTCACCAGTGTTGTTAGTCTATTTCTCTGAATTTTTTTTTTTATGTTAGCAGGAAAACCAAGAGGTTTCCACATGATATCTCATAAATGTGTGCCACTGTAATTTGTTACCATAGATACCCCCCACTGTTCATACCTCTCCCCACTCCACCCCTGGCTGATTCTTCTCCCTCTGAGTTAGTTGCCCACATCTGTCTTCTCGTCACACATATTCATGATCTTCTCTATCTTCTCCCTCCCTAAAGAGCTCTTCCCTTATATCAAGAGCCTTATCCCTGGCTCCTCATTTTGCTGTTGTATGCATAGTGTGTCCTGTATGGGCCACTGTAGCCTTATCTATTAGGTTAAGGGACATTTTGGTTGTCTGTTGAGTCTTGGCTGTTATAGTCTCTGTCTTAGTCACTAATTATTCCTGTGAAGAGACACTAGGACCAAAGCAATTTGTTTGTTTGTTTGTTTGTTTGTTTGTTTTTTGAGACAGAGTTTCTCTGTGTAGCCCTGGCTGTCCTGGAACTCCCTCTTTAGACCAGGCTGGCCTTGAACTCAAAAATCCGCCTGCCTCTGCCTCCCAAGTGCTGGGATTAAAGGCGTGCGCCACCACCGCCCAGCACACTTTTGATTTTTTAACAAAAGGATCATACCATGTAGCCCCAGCTGGCCTTGAACTAGTGTTTCTCTGTCTCAGCCTCCAAAGGGATTACAGGCGGATGTTACCTCATCTTGCTTATTCATATTCTTTGACACTCATGCTGTTCCAGGGTCATGCTTATAAAGATGTTGGGATGGACGATGGAGTGAGTTTTGGGGGCCTTTCAGCACATGATGATGATGGTGGTGATGACACTCTCTCTGTGTGTATTGTGTTTCAGTGTGTGATGAGCACAAGGAATTCAAGGACGTAAAGCTCTTCTACCGCTTTAGAAAGGATGATGGGACCTTCCCACTGGACAATGAGGTGAAGGCCTTCATGAGAGGACAGAGGCTGTATGAAAAGTAGGTCCACTGCCATCGTGACTTGGGAAAGGGAAGTGGGCTCTATTCTTTTGCTTGAGTGTTTATTTATTTTGAGAAAGGATCTCATGTTGTATCCCAGGCCTGTGTAGTCTTAGGATAACCGTGAATTTCTGACCGTCCTGGTTCTGTCTGCTGAGATTCCAGCTGTGCATCCTTATTCCTTCCTTATTCTCTGCGGTGCTGAGGATAGAACCCTGGGCTTTTATGCATACCAGGCAAGTGGTCTATCAACTGAGCTAGAGCAGCCCATCTGTCTACCTTGTCCCATGTCGACCTCAGTGTGGCTCTCCCATGTGGGCGGGTTACATAACTGTTCTTTTAGTGGGAGAGGATTCTGTCACGTAGTCGCTTCTCTTGTTGCCAAAAATTAAAAGTTAGCTTCCGAAGATTTGTGATACTTTACCAAAATCATATCCCCTCTACCTAAGACAATTGAACAAAACTCCAGAAGTGAAAACAGAGGAGCACTGTTTGATGTTTTCCATCAAGGGATGCCCATGGCCTTTTCCGTAGTTGATAGATGTAACTGTTGCAGAATCTGAAGATTAAGCCTTGTGCGTGCTATGCACAGGGGAAAGGCTAGGGTCATGTCAGGCAGTCAGTGCTGAGTGCCCTTCATGGAGCAGGATCTTTGAGGAGCATAGTTTAGCTTTCAGGAAGCTGAAACATACCATATACAGCCTAGGAGTACTCAGTTGGCAGGTCTAGAGTCTCCTAAGAGGTATGTCTCGGAGCTGGTCTGCTTTTCTTTTGCCTCTAGCATTTCCAACCATCTTTATTTTTATCCAGGGCAACGTTTTGAGAATGGAGCTCTGAAGGAATGCCTTTCCTTAATTCTGGTTGTCTTGCAAGGCTTTGGACATCCTGAAAAATTCCTATTTGTCACATAAAAGATAACACTAGTGTCATCCGCTCCATGGTAGGTGGGTGCAGGGGTTACAGTGAAGGTCTAGGAAGTCAGACAAAAGAACCAGAGGATTAAGAGCTTAGGTTCAATTTTAGTTGTGAACATGGGGCTTGCTCATGCTTCACGCACCTTACCACTGACACCTCTGACTTCTTTGTATCCCGTCCAGCCTAGCCCACCTGTGCCTTGCCAATTATGTGGTAAATATTTGACGAAAGCTATGAGTAAGGACCAGGAATGTGTCTCAAATGAACACACTTGCCTAGCATGTGTAAGACCGAGGAGGAAGAGGGAGTCTGACTTTGGTGTTTTGTTTGTTTGGTTTTGTTTTTTTATGAGCTAACTTAGGTAACTACTCAGTGCTAGTGAAGTCATGGTTACTGGGGGAAAATCTACAACCGGTAATTTACTTATCCAGCATATTCTGTAACTGTAATGTATAAATATTTGTCCTTGTACTGACAGGTAAATAAGTGTAGTCCTTACCCCTCCTCAAGGGTAAGGACTTACCTCTCTTTGCAAAAGATGAAGACTACTACAGAAAACCACAACCAATCAAAATGCAGAGTTGTGAATTGAAGTCCCAATGAGATATATCTACAAAGCACTCTGTACCTAAGACTTTCAGGACACTGCAGAAGATGGGGCAAAAAAAAAAAAAAGATCATAAGAGCCAGAGAGGATCAGAGTTTGTGTTTTTAGTAATGTCAGAATCGACCTCCATAAATTGTCTGCAACATGGCAACATGACTGTCCAAATGTGAGCTGAGCAAGGATGATGGCAGTGAACACACCCAAGTAGACAGGGAAGAACTCAGGCGACACAAAGAACTAGACACAACCCTACACAAAGAACCATAGTCAACGGTGGAAACCTGGGAGTGGGAGAGGTGGCCCTCCCCAGGGAAAAGAACACTAGCTGGTTGTGGTTGTCCAGTTTCAACTTGTCAGCCTTGAAAACATCCATACAAATCACATCACGTGAACTGAGAAGATCATGTTTATAAATGACATGTATGTACATATACGCATGCAATAAGAATGGAAGAGGAGGCCATAAGTTCAAAGGAGGGTGGGAGTTAATACATGGAAGGACTTGGAGAGAGGAAAGGACAGGGGAAAGTGTTAGAATATTATAATCATACTTAACCAGCTGATGAAGAGCATACTTTATATTAACCTTGATTTTTCTCTTCTAATCTAGGGATGACTTCTCTAGTCTAATTTCACCTGACTTAATGTAGAGTTCAATCCCCTCTACAACTGATGAATAGCCTGTTTGTCTAGTTGGGTTCTTTTGTTGTCATCCAAAGGACCTTGATGTTCTCAGCAGTAAGAATTTCTCTCTCCAGCCCCTAGCCTATTTATCCCGTGTAGGGCTTCAGGCATGACTGAAGAAGGTAATGGATAAATGCCCTGAGGTCTGAGGGTTCCCACTGGTCTTTTTCATTTTCTCTTCTAACTGAAGAGGAACCAAAGGGAGAAGCCATCGCCAGTGAGGCAGCGTCCTTCTGTGTGTCTTATCTTCTCCACCATGTGTCCCAGGATGGTTCTTTTGTTCTTTCTCAGTGCCTGGCACAGTAAATATTGTTCAGTGAACAAAGGGCTTTCCATGTTGTGTTGCTGTGAGCGTCTGCCCTGCTGGCATGAGAGAGCAGCTTAATGACAAGTGACAATAGCCAGTCTGTTCACCTTGTCTGGCCTCTAGAGATTACACAGCATCCAATACATCATTTATTTGGTTTTCCTTACAATTTTCAGTGATTATACCCAGCAGGCATAATTAATTCCACTATAATACTAACGACATGAGATATAGAGCAGCTGAAATGGTTGATGCAGACTCCCAGATAGGGAGGTAGAGATGTCTCTTAAATACTTCTGGCTGGAGAAATGTCTCAGCACTTAGAAACACTAGCTGTCGGGCAGTGGTGGCACACGCCTTTAATCCCAGCACTTGGGAGGCAGAGGCAGGTGAATTTCTGAGTTTGAGGCCAGCCTGGTCTACAGAGTGAGTTCCAGGACAGCCAGGGCTATACAAAGAAACCCTGTCTTGGAAACAAACAAACAAAGAAACAAACAAACTAGAAATACTTGCTGCTCTTCCAGAGGAACCAAGTTTGGTTCTCAGTACTCACATCAGATGGCTTACAGTTGCCTTTAATTTTAGTTTCAGGGGACAAGATGCCATCTCTTGGTCTCCCCTGGCATCTGCATGTTCGTGACACTCACTACATACACACACAAACACACACATACACAAACACACACATACACACACACACAGATAAACAACTAAAATGAATGGAAATATATAAATAACCTGGCTTGGGGAAGGGGCGTGCACTTAATTTTTTATGAGGGGCTGGGTGAATAAACCTGTCTGATGTAACTGATATGGAAGACAGAGCTTGGCTTCCGGCATCTTCCTCGCTGTCTACTTTCTTCTTGGAGATTGTCTGTCGCTGACTCTGGAGCTCATAGATTGACTAGACTGGCTACCCAGCAAGCCTCAGGGATTCTGCCCTGCCTCTACCTTCCCAGGAATGAGACGGCAGGCCCACCAAAGGGACCTTTCACATGGTTTCCCTGGCAAACATTTTCCTACTGGGTTCATCTCTCCAGCACAGCTTTAAACCTGTCTTTTTCTGTTTCTACCTAGCAAACACTTTTCAAACCGAGGCTGGTCAGTTGGTTACTTGGGTTGGTGACTTAGGCTGTTTATTTTGAGACAGGTCTATGTAACCCTAGCTGTCCGGGAACTTACTATAGAATGGCCTCAGCTTCTGTCTCCCAAGTGGTGGCATTATAGGCATGAACACAAGCGAGTATCTTCAGTTCTACCAGTTGATTCAAATTTTAGCTTGCAATATTTTCAGCCACTTGGCAAACTGTAGCAAGACATTTTCCATTATGCTATGGACATTCTTAGTTTAATTGTGCTGCGTGAGTAGTGGTTTCATGGAATCTTGTTTTTCTTGTTTTGAGGCAGAGCTTTGTTTTACAGGTCAGTCTATCGTTAAACTCATACTCCCTCTGATTATTAGGGTGATATATATGTGCCATAGCACATGTGCAGTATCGACACTTTTGAATTTTTTTTAAATTTAATTTTATTTTGTCTGAGACAGGGTCTGTATATAAACATGACTGTCCTGGAACTCACTATTTAAACCAGATGGCCTCAGATTCCGAACTCCATCTTCCACTGCCTTCTTAGTGCTGAAATTAAAGTCATGTACCACCACGCCCAGCCGCCGCTATGTTGACTCTTATAAGTATTCTCGCCTTCGTGTATTTGAGGTATCCAGTGATTCCAACATTACTGGGTTAACAGTCATCTTTTACCATAGTTTATGTGAGCAAGGTGATGCTAATACCCAGTTACTCATGTTAAGAACTGTTAATCTTGCCAGGCAGTGGTAGCGCATCCCTTTAATCCCAGCACTTGGGAGGCAGAGACAAGAGAATTTCTGAGTTCGAGGCCAGCCTGGTCTACAGAGTGAGTTCCAGGACAGCCAGGGCTACACCCTATCTCAGATTAAAAAAAAAAAAAAAAAAAAAAGAAAGAAAAAAGAAAACAGAAAAAACAAACAAAAGAACTGTTAGTCTCCAACTGAGATGTTACCATACTTGACTGCCAGCAAGTTTGCCATAACCATTCCTGGTTGCATGTAGAAAATAAGAAACCCCAGGTCAGGACATGACAGCTAGCTTATGCCTCTTTGCAATGACAGTGGGCAAAGTACCACTGTGGTTTGGTCCCTGCAGATCATACCATTGCTGGCAGTTGCATACCCACTCCCAGGGTTGTGTACAGCAGAACCCTAAGACCGAGGGACCGGAAGCTTTCATGATGTCTTCAGGCCACCATGCCATCTATCCCGGAGTGAGACACTCTTGTTTTCAGACTAGCAGAAAACAAATGCGCCTTTCTGTTGGAGAAGCGGTAGTATCTTTCAGGTCTGTTTGCTCTGCAAACATCTCTGAGAAGCCGGTCTGAACAAAAGCTGTGTCAGTTTGCAGGCCTTGAGGAAATGTGAGAGGTTTGGAGGGGACTCTCTCCTAATGG